TCTTCACTTCTACACCCTGGGACCTCCTAGTTGTTCTCATGCCAATGTCCCCCGGTGTCCTCCGAGACCCAGACCTTTTCTTTACTCATGGCCGGGCCTCCCACAACACCCTATACCAATAAATGCTCAATGAATAGCTTTCACAGTGAACTGAAACAGAATCTGTCCAATTCTCAGACCAGTTTGGGCTCTTGGGTGGCCTCAAGCTCTGTACATCCAAATGACCTCTTACTGTTCTTCCAAGATTGGATTTGGGCCCAGACTGAGTCAAATGACCTCTTATCATCTTCCAAAATTAGGCTTTCCTCTTTAATTACACCTTATCTAGCCATACTCTATGTGGATTCTAATTACATAATTACTTCAAGCCCTGGGACTTAAAAACAAAAAAGAAAAGAAAGGCGTATATATGATTACACAGGCTAAATAAATACATCAAACATGCATATTTACATACACCGTACTCCATTTTCTTGTTCATGTAGTTTTGTGATCCAGAAAATACAGTCCATGGAGGGGTCTAAATGGCATTACGGTAAAAATCTCAACGGGTGCGAACAGATGAAGGAGAACTTCATGGAGAAGCCTAACCCTGAGATGGGCCTAAAAGAGCTTACAGTCAATCACCAGGCCTCTCCCCTCCCGCTTCTACAGGAGGAGACGGGGGCTGAATGACCTGGGGCCTGATAGATTTTTTAAAATCATGACCAGGCCTGATCCCTCCTAACCAAAAATATCCATCATTTTCTGAATCCCAGGTACTCGCTCTCCTAAGGCACATTTGCACCATGTCCATCCTGCAGACAAGGGCCCAGGCTCATCCATCTTGGTATTCCCAATCTCAATCCCTCCCAGTACCAGAGGGGCTTCTAGCAGGCCTTCCTTCTGCCTTATACTCCAGCCTTATTAAAATATATGCCCTAGCCCAGATGTGTGGCTCAGTGGTTATGCGTCAGTCTATGAACCAGGAGGTCCTGGTTCAATTCTGGGGCAAGGCACATGCCTAGGTTGCAAGCTTGATCCCCAGTAGGTGTACAGGAGGTAGCCAAACAATGATTCTCTCTCATCATTGATGTTTCTATCTCTCTCCCCCTTCCTCTCTGAAATCAATTAAATATATAT